CTTAGATAGAGGTTTACACATATTAAGCTAGTTCTGCTTGTAACTACTAATCTGGCAGGACAGTAAGGGTGGTGGTTAGTGTAGGAGGGTCCATGTTTATACTACAAAGGAATCAGTACTAAACTAAAAGGGGTAATAAATAGAAGAAGGGTGGTAAAAGTTTAAAAGGGTTTAGAAAGTTTAAAATTTAAAAATGTAAAAGAGTTAGGACAAAGAAAAGAGATTAACATAATAGTAAGTACTAATACTCAAAATGTAGGAGAGTTGTAGGGTAGTAATAAGTAGTCTTAATCTGATGTCAGTAACAGTATAGAAGGAACCTAAAGGCTTAGTAAGGGGACCTAGGCTACAACTATTCTACACAACAGAAATACAGAACACAAGTACTAGAACATAGTTGGAACTTGTAGAACAGACAGAGAGAGAGAGTGAGACAAGAGTAGAGTATATAGAGTAAGCCTAAGAGTACAGGACTACCTAGAGTAGACAAGATTAAGACTACAGGACTAGTCTGATCTTGTACACCTATATATACTAAACTATACAAGAGTACTTAGAGAGTATGAGCCACTTAAGAATAATAAGCTATAAAGAATGAAAGAAAGGAATGTCAAAGATAAAGGTACTGTTAGGAATTGTAAAATACAGTAACTAAGTTTGGAAAAGCTTAACTCAAGACTTGGGACTGAGTAGTTTATATACAAAACCCTATTAGTTACAAGTCTAGAGATTAGCCAGATCAACTAGGCTACCTTTGTTGTCCTACTTAGTAAGAACTCCAGCTCAGCATTATTAACCTCTAATCATTACTAATGGGTGATCAATCTATCAGTAGAGAGAGAGGACAGGAAGGAGTAGGTACTAAGTCAGTTAGGAAAAGGTAACAAAACCTAAGGACAAGGTCTTTATCTCTCTAAGGTTAAACACATACTCTAGCACAGTATTACTTAATAACCTCAACCAAAGACAAGTTATTTAGAATACTTGTATAGAGAGAGGATCTGGAAAGAGTATAGTGTCTAGAGTAAGAAGTATAAAGGAAAAGACTAGGAGAAAACCTAAAGAGATAAAAGGAAAATATTATACTTACTTACTACATAGTTAGCTAGAAACACTTTGTACAAAGACAAAGGACTATTAAAGCTAGGAAAGAGCCAGAGCTAATACTCTAAAGCTCTATACTTAAGGAGGACTAGTACTAGTAAAGGAAAGGGAACTGAGAGCTCTGAGGAGAGACTATAGGAAAGTAGTCTCCTTTATACACTTTGCTCATATAGATAGGAAAGTAATAAAGTCATAAACATAAGAACTATATGAGGACAACATGAGGAATACATGAGACAATCTAGAACTTTGGTTATAAGTTCTATGATTGAATACAGAAGTATAAAGATAAGGCTAGAAGTTAATAAGGATAATTGTCTCCTAAACTAAGTCTATTAAAGAAGACTTAAGGAAAGATCTAGAACATTAGTTGTCAGTTCTAGAGTGTACACAAGGCAGTCTAGAACTTTGGTTGTAAGTTCTAGGGGTAGTACAGAAGTACAGCCTTTTATATTACAGAAGTCATAAGGAGTCATTAGAAGTCATAATACTCTACCTTATGAGAAAAGTGTATTACAAACTAGTATACAGGAAGTACAGGTCAAGTCAGACAGAGTCATAGGAACAATAGAGAGCTCTACTTCATAGGAAAAGCATTACACAGCTTACACAGTATAACTAGTCAGGAGGACTCATAAGGAGTCATTAGAAGTATGAGAGGAAGTATAGAAGACATAACAATACAGTAAAGGAGTCATTAGAAGATTAATCTAGGATACAAGAAGACACAAACTAGTGTCAGCAGATTAATAGAAGACACAAACCAGTGTAGTATACAGTCTAAAGGATTAGCCAGCTCCACTTCATAGGAACAACAGTGAAGGGAGTTACTAAAGTTACTAGAGTAACATCACTCTAGCAAAAGGTATATAAGGAGGCCAGTTTGGCCCTCAAAAGATAGTTTTATCAACTTAAGTTACCTAGTACTTGGAAGTACTCTACTACTAACCTACTAGGCTACACTTGCAGCTTGACTAAAGTAGGACTCCTCTACCCTCTCACCCTACAAGTCTACAAGTCTTACTCTCTATACTCTATTCTGTTACTATTCCTAAGGATTAGGACTAGTAAAGTGAGTATATCTAACAGGTACAAAGAATGAAGGGATAGACAAAGGGTAAGAGACTATAGAATGAACAAAGAATAAAGGGGTAGTCAAAGGAATGGAATGATGAAGTAAGGAAGGGTAGTAGTAAGAGTCAGCATGTATATAGTCCATAGACAGTGCCCCTAATGGATGGAAGTCCTGAGTTCCAGTATGGAAGGGTGCAGAACCCTTGGAACTGAAAGTACAAGAGTAGAGAACTGTAACATTAAGTACCTATGTCTCACATATAATATTGTAGTAATAATGGTATTAACATAACTTGCTTCAAAAAACACTTGTAGTATAATGCAATTCTTGTATAAGTATTACATTTATATACAGTTGTTACATTTCAATTACAAGCAAAGTATAATTATAATTTTGAATTGTAATTGATATATAAGTACATTATTACATTACATTTGCTATTATTAATTACATTTGTTGCGACTTTTTCGTGATGGTAGTACAGTAGATCATGTGTCTGAAGTGTATTGATTTGTGTTTGGGATACTCAGACAGGTGAGTCAAGTTCTGCATGTATTATGGTGCATGTGTGCATGTGATGTGTAGAACTGTATAGAGCATAGATGTAGTAGAGTGTAGATAAAGCATAGGCAGGGAGCTCAAGGCTCATAACCTGTTAAGAAAGGGAAGAGAGGTTATGTGAGAGGCTTAGAGGGATCACACAAAGAGGGGGGATAGTGGACTCGGCTTGCTCTCTTGCAGCTTGCTTCATTGTCCGTTAATTAGTTAGTCTATATATATACTATGTAGGTATGTCTCAGATGTAGAATGTATGATGGAAGGTATTCCATCATCGTTCGTCATTGCTTGTAGTGTAGTTTATATCATCTGAGACATACTCTTGTGTAGTCTTGTCTTAACAGAAATATTAACTATAATTTTTATATATTCTCACAAGAACGAGCATCAACAAGAAGAAGAAACCGGCCTTTACACAGGGAGAGAATGCTCTACTTACGGCTCATAAGCTGCAAAGATCATTGAAAGATGTATGTAATGCCAAGACTCACATACAGTGACATACTTGTAAGAAACATTACCACGAGTGAATGAAATATAGCTGTACTAGGAGGAGGGACTCAGACATACGAGTATTGACAATGGAAGAAAACCTCACAGTCCCTTGTCTTTCTTTTGAAACGACTCATCCACTTTGATTTTGAGTAGTTTCAGTATTGTACATAGTATTGAGGATATCCGGGCTCCTTTGCGCAGTTAAATCAGACCCTGAAACAGAAGGCTCGCATCTCACTTGGAGCTCAGGCAAACTTCCAAAATTGAGAAGAAACTGGTTCTCGTATTGACCCTCGTATCCCTTACATTGCAATATGTTGTAAAGCATGTCTTCATTCAGGCGTTGTGTGTCGTAAACCATGTTTGTTAATGCAGATAGATCAAGCTGCAGAACAAAGTAGGAGTCGTTAGATATGAAGGCTGATGCCTCCCCGTTGCTAGATTAATTACCAACCATGCATTCCCCTACCTCTCTCTCTGTATTCATTCTAAGCATTTTAATACCTTTATCCACTTCCAGTAGCATAAGCAAGAGATATTCAACGAATACCGGTTTTTATGGATTTATACCACAGAAAAGTAATATGAAGTGCGTTGTATTGTGGTGGGTGTCCTTCCGTTTAGTCTTACCGGACCTTTTCAAGCTCGTGTGGCATTAGAGGAGATCCGGATGGATATGTGAGTTGTTACTAGCTCGAAGCGACTAGATCAGAGAAGGATAACTAAGGCTCGCTACAATCTACAAAGCAAGTTCTCATGAGTCCAGTAGTGAGTCATGGTACACAAACAATTTCATGTCTTTCAAATTAGTGCCAACAATGTATTGATCTTTCTTTACCAAAAGCAATATAGAAATTCCACAGGAAACGCGTGTGGAAAGAAAGTAAGAGTTTCAACACCACCACCTGTAAAGTTGCATGAGGCTATTGTTTATGATGTGGTATGTAGAGTATCCTTATAAAGACTCACATCAAAATGTCTGACTGATATTTAAGTGTGTGGATTGCCCGAGTGGCGACCTTGATTTATCCCCAAAACTGTATGACTACCTGTATCCTCCAGGTGATCTTCAACACGTCAATAAATATGGACTTATGGACGGAACTTGGGATTTTATCTAACCTGCAAAGGTTGCTCTCTCCACTTAACTAGTACTGTAGCAGCATCATGTGTAACCTTAAGTAGCTATTAGCTTTCCGAGCCATGCCAGTACAAGAACAAAGCCCAGTCAGTGAAGTTTAGAAGACCTCTAAATCTGGTAGGCACAGCCAGATTTTTAGATCGGTTGCACAGATGATGCATTGCAGCTACAAGTTCTGTTACTTAGCAGTGCAAGAGTGGTGTATGTAGAAGGTGTGAACAAGGTTGCTGATAGCCTGCTTCGGCATGAGCAGTCGGAAAATGTTGAGAAGCAGTGATTTGCCTCAACTGGTACAGTAGAACGATGGTTGTGATTTAGTCATATGCGTCTAAGATCACGTTTGTGATTTTATTTAGCACTCAGTACATTTCAGTTCACAATGGGGCAAGTTGTTACAACTGCAGACAATCTGCAGCGTCGCCCAAACTTGAACTTGAAGATGGTCATACGAAAGAGTCAGTTGTTACATAATCGTGAGTGATAAGAAACCAGCAAGCAAAACGCGTGCATGTTTCTGTGTGACGGTAGTGACGCTACGCGTCTCGCGTTACCTACATAAGTTGCTCGCGTCTCACTTACTCCCAAAACTCCTCTCGCTTTCTACACCCATCACCCCAGCACCTCTCAACCTCAGGCAACTACCACAAATACACAAAAAATGCCTCGTGCCGCTACCCGTAAGAAACTCTTTCGCTCTGCTGCCATCTCTATTTCTTCTTGGTGCTAAGACGTCTATCCTCTTCGTATTCAGAAACAGCCACTAAAGCCGCAACGCGCACTGCCAACACGAAGACTAAGAAAGGCGACGGTGAAGGTATTATCATTTTAATTCTTTCTTACTATCATCCTATTTTCCTAACAGAGCCGTCATTCTGTATAGGCAAGGCAAAGCGTGCACCAAGCGCCTACAACGTTTTCATGGGTGAACAACTCAAGATCTGGAAGGAGAATAATCCCGGAACGCCTATCAAAGAAGGTATGGCTGCTGTAAGTTATTACTTCCCTTTAGTTTCCTCTTTTCTCCTTTACTCACCTTTATACCGTGGATTTAATAGGTGGCAGCCTTGTGGCGTGAATCTCCTCAGAACCCAAAACGTGGTCAGGCACCCGCAGAGCCGAAAGCAAAGAAGGCCAAGGCGGACAAGGAGAATGCAAAGAAGCCCTCTTCGAAGAAGCCGAAGTCCAAAGCATCTAAAGCAACTGACGAGGACGAGGGCGAGCAAGACGAAGAATAAAGGGTAGAGAGTACGTAATCCGAAGAGAAAATCAACTGCATATATGCACGTTTCTAATCAAGTACTTTCTGCAGTTCGTCCAGCCGGGATACCAACCCTTTACCGATATCCTATTTATTCTTCAGTCTCTACTCTCGGCTACTTCTCATCGTCTCGGCTCAGCTCTCGGTTTTCGTATGTCCTTTTAATTCCACTGACTTGATCTGGTGACATGTCTACAATATGCCATCGTATACGCATGTACTTCTAGTAGTATAGAGTATCGGCGCTCGCCAGTGCTTGTTTGTGCTTTTAGTCCAATAGACGCGCACAGTGCTCTTCAACCTAGTGCTGGATGGAGGTGAACAACAATGTGAAGTACGCACTTAAATTACTCAAGCACCAAGCGAATACACTAGGATAAACAACAACAATGGGAATAAGGATAATGTGCGTACAAGTCTAAATAATCAAATAAATGGGATGAAGAAGGTCCAAACATGAGCTGATAGAGGTTGAGTAGAGGTGACACGGCGAGTAGCCAATCCAACAGAAAATAACGCGGGAAGAAGAAAACGGTAAGAACTCGAAAGAGCAATCCAAGAAAAAGTCAAGCAAATGTGTCGAGAGTGAAGCGCTGTGAAGGAATGAAGCAAGTAAGAGGTATCGCATAACAAGAAAGAAATCCAATCCAGTTCAATCCAAGAAGTCGAATAGAAGCGCCAGGAGTCGACCAAAAAATTCCACTTCCCAAATCCACAACCTAATCCTCATCCAACCCACTACTCCTCACAAACGGTGTATTCCCAAACGGTGTCCTCTCCAAGGACCGACCTTCAGCATCCCTTCCACTGATCCCACCATGCAGAATCGACGTGTCCCCTCTTCCCCCTCTCCCTCTCCTATTATTCCTCCCACCACTCTTGGAGGACGCTGCACGCGAAGCAGACGCAGACGAAGAAGGCAACGGGACACGGCGTGGAGTGTCAAAGCCCGACTCTGGTCCTCCTTGTCCAACATCTTCATACATCCCCATCCCTCCTGGTCCCATTCCCATCCCTACTCCTGCCCCCGAAACGCTCCCGGACGCACGCGACGAAGGCCTCGGAGGAACGAACCCTACCCCACTCGCAGGTGTCGCACTCCTCGAACCTCCAACAATACTCCCACTCCTGCGTCTTTCATCAAACCCTGCTCGGCGCTCGTCAAATGCATATGGGCCCGTACTCGATCCTGTTCCCTGAGAGTGAGTCTGCGAGAACGTACGCGTACGCGCACGCGGCGTTATTGACCTCTCTCTCCTCGTCCCAAACACTTCTTCCTCTTCGTCAAGCGAGGGATCCGTACCAGGGTCATGAAACGCATTCAAATCTCCCATTCCCATGCCTCTCGCGTGCACCAACTCTTCCACACTCTCCATCCCCGCACCCATACCCATACCAGCAGGCTCCCTCCGATGTCTCGCCTGTCTCCTCCCAAGTGATTGTCTCCCCCCACTCCCACCTCGATGATGATCCCCAGCAAAATAATCTGCCGCACTACCTGGTCCCGTTCGTTCATGCTCCGGCGAAGTCACAGGCGTCACAGGCGGCATATGCCCACCCATACCCATACCAGGGAACGGCTGCATCCCAGGTGGCGGAGGCGCACCAAAGTCAATCGGAGGTCCGCTCATCCCCGGTGAGGTCGGAGACCCAAAACTCATAGATGGGTGAGACGGCCCGCCGCCTGTAGTATTATTGCCTGGACTGGGCGGCGGACCGTACATGAACCCCGTTCTTGACGGCGGTCGTTGGGGTTGCATCTGTGGCTGATGATGTGAATGCGAATGCGAATGCGAATGAGCATGATGAGGTTGATGAGGTTGCTGCACCCCCCAACCAGGAGAACTCGTCTGGTCCGCATGCATCACAGGCATCCCATCAGGCAAAAGGTGCGAATGCCTCGTCATACCCGTATGCACCGTATCAACGCTCTCCGGCCGACTAGGTGGTTCAATAGTGATCCCTGAGAATCAAAGAAGCGCATAAGAAAAGAGCGCGCACGCATAATTAGCTCGTCGAATCAATGAGGTCATTTAGTATAGGTATAGGAAAACACGCGTACTCACCTGGAACACTCGACCCACTCTCTGCACTCCACTTCCTTTCTCCCAATGACTGTCTTTGCAAACGCGCAACACGGGAAGGAACGGGGAATCCTGTCGTTTCTGTGCGAGCAGATGACGTGGTGGAAGACGAGCTAACCGACGTGGGGCGTCGATTGCGTTGTCGGGCAAGGGCTGCAGCAGATGCTGGGACAGAGTCAGCTGCAGACGGCGGGCGTATGGGAGGTTCGAAACGATGGTTGAGTCCTTGAGCGGGACGTGGAACGATCTAGGCGGAATCGTAAGGAAATGATCAAGAGCAGAAAAGTAAGAACGTACAATTTCTTGCTGTGGCAAACCATGTCTCCTCATTCCACGGGACGGCGGTCGCCTAGGCTCACTGCTGGACGACTCAGACGAAGTTGCATATTGCGAGTAAATACGATCCGCAGACGCAGTGGCGAGTGCAGCAGGATCGCCCATGCTGTGATGCCTGGGGTGTCGACGTGGGTCATGAGGATGGTGTCCTTGTGGATGACCGGCGTGTGGTGGTGGACGCGTGGCTTGAGAAGAAGCTGGACGAGTCGGATAAACCTGCGCAGGTACTCCTGTTGGTGTTTCGGGCTCTGGACGCACAGGAACGGGAGAACGGATGATGATGTGATCCGGCTCAGGATGTTGCGCACGAGGATCAGGGACAGGTTCAAAATCGTCGTATTCCAATGGCGGAGGTGCTTGACGAGGTCCAGGTGTCCCGCTTCGACGAGAGTTAGGTCGGGGGGTCTCACCTCGACGGGGGAGGGTAGGTATGGAGGCCGGAGGAGGGACTGGGAGTCCCCATCCCGGCGTTGATGCACGTCTAGATGGAGGAGTCATTTCTTGACGGATGACTTCGGGAATAGGCGCTGTTCGCCAGTCTTGTTGAATCGGTGTAGAGCGACGGATTGTCGGCGTTGCAGCACGACGAGACATGATCGGCACGGATTCCGGCGGCGGGACTGGTAGAGGGACATTTGAAGTCGGAGTATGCGGCACTTCGTCGTCATCGTCATCTTCATAGATGGGTCCTCTTGTTCTTGAGTGAGTACTATGTACTGGTGGAACGTCTGCACCGATACTCCAAAGTGCTTCTCTTCTCCCTTCTCTAAAGCCCTGCTCTCTTGCCCGCCTTGCGAGCTCTCCCTCTCTAAACTTCTCTACAGTCCTTTTCATTCGCGTAACTGCATGTTCGGCCTTCATACGTTCAGCGTCACTCGCAGCCACAATCGCATTAGCTTCCTCCAACTGTTTCTGTGCATTGTCCAACTGCATCTTGTATGCTCTCAACTCTGCCTGAGCACGTACAGCATCCTTCTGTTCCCTCGCACGTGCAATCGCCAGTCCTTTTAATCTCTCCGTGCTCTCCAACGCAATACGTTCCGCGTCTGCAGCGCGACGCGACTCGGTCTTTATGATATCATACGCACGCGCCAGTTGTACCTCACCAGTCGTATCCGCCTCAAGCCGTTCATTGATCAACGCACGGACGAGCTCGCGTGCGGTTGAAGATGACGTCTTCCGACTTCGCTTTGCAGAAGAGCTTGCAGTGCGGCTGCGACCAGCACCAGTAAAGACACGGGATTTCGGATCGGAGTCTTCTGCATAGTGCTGCTGAGATCTGCCTGGAGCTGTGGCTGAGGAGAAATAGCCACTGTTGGGGTCGTCTTCAGTAAATTTTCCTGGGAAATGATGATAGGTCTGCTCTGGGATGTAGTCACTTTCGTAACCGTTAGCCGGGCTGAGTGGCAACAAATGAGAACGGCGTGAGTGCGTGAATTGTGAGAATGAAAGTATAAAGACGTACTCTCTGTAGCGAGAAAAGTCCGCCTGCGCTGGCGACATCGTGGAGGAAGCAGAAAGGAGAGAAAAGACAGGCTCACGGCCAGAGCGAGGATTTCATTCCTCTCTAGCGTCTCGCTGACGATGATCGCCAATCAATAAATTCATCGTTAATTCATTCCATAATCGTGGAGATATTTATCCTTTTATGATGATGAGATAAATGGAGTCACGTGTTATTGCAATAAAACTGCTACCGAGAATTGCATCCAGTTCCAGTGTACGGTACTAGTAGCGACATGAACAGACATCATCTCATTTAATTTGACTCGCCTAAAACTATGCATGTCCTCGACCTCTCTACCCCTCGCGCTGCCTCACATCTACATCATATACCCAGTGATGTGATTTGCACTGCCCAATACATACTTTCCTCTTGGCAAGTGGGAATAGGTAGTTCAACCCCAATCCCTACCTACCATTGACTTGAGTCGAAGGCAATTGTAATTGGTCCGCAATATGAACCATCAGCGCTCGCTACTTCGCCGATTCTCCCGTGGTCGTCTGAGCTCCGTTGCCTGATCTCATCTAAGAAGCCATGCAGTAACAGCGACGGTGATGCTCAGTCCAGCAGCTTACTAGAGGCACGTAATGGAGATAACGGATATGTAAAATTCGCCGGCTTGACCCCATGGCAACGTTTCACGCAGAAGTCATTGACAAAGTCCATTCAGAAATAACCAGTTTGGAAATTTTATGAGCTTTCTTGATGCGACTCGGAAAGTGTAAAGCGCTCACGTACCACGTTGATCCCTTACATCAATGATTGCCGTGCCTCATCCCACTGCATAAAGCTTCCGGAGCAACATTTATCAATTGTGAGTCCATTATAGCTCTGCAACCGACAAACTAGCTATGCAGAACTACGTCCACGTGCAGGGTCACTACGACGCAATCACAGCGCATTGTCCTGCCCGAAGTTGCTCGTTACTTTTCTCTTCCAGTCTATGTTTCATCCATACGTCCACGAGCATGCAGCTATCGAACCTCCTGCTACTCGTCATTCTCCTCGCATTACGAGCATGGGCTCAATCAGGACCCACCTCTTGGACAGCATCCCCATTTAATCCTCCCGCTCTCCCTCTCGCTGTCCGTTCACCTTACCTCAACGTATGGCTAACACAGGGCAACGATCCTCCTTCACCATTCGATCTCGACGCCGTCCACCCCTGGGCTATGAATTCAGTAAGTTTGCGTTAAGTAAAACATTTCGCCGTTGACATTATGGCTATATCGCTCTAGCCCGTAGGGTGGTATGCAAATGCTGTAGTAGATGACACTGAGCATAGACTGCTCGGTCAGTACACCGACAACAACAATGTCCCGAACCAGACGGCCGTTGAATTCACTGCAACGAGGACATCATTTCTCTTGTCGGCTGGACCTGTCCAATTCAACATGTCTTTTCTGAGCCCTGTAGAAGTAAGTTTTGCGAAAGTATATTGAAAACAAGTATCTTACAAATCAATTCAGCCGAATAATTTCACACTTCAGTCGCTTCCTTTCTCGTATTTATATATAACCGCGCAGTCTACCGACGGCCAGTTGCACCGGGTCAGGATGTACTCTGACATTGCTGGTGGTAAGTATCTCTCAGTCGAATTTTGCTACAAGGCTCAATACCGTGCATCTAGACCTCATAGCAGGTGATCTAAGCCAAATTGTCGAATGGTCATCCGAAGACACTTCCGATTATGTCGTCCTTAGTATGCACCTCCAAAATCAGGTACCATTTGTCGAGAGCAACATTCACCCTCAAGATGCTACGTTAATCAACGCGTTCAAGAAGGTAAATTGTCCTCTGCACTTGTTTTACACTAGCCAACGAATAATTTCTATTAACGTATCTTTCTAGATTGGAAGTGGGACGACCTCATGGGCAATATCCAACATCGATAGCACGCGTGGTGTACTTGTTAACAATCCATCGGGTGGAAACCTATCCAACCAGGCTGATCCTCCTTCGGACTTTGGACCTGCCTCATCGTACGCATCTACTCTTCTCTATTAACATAGCTCTAAATGCAAATGGATTCCAGAGGTGACGGAGGAAAAAACTCACCAGTTCTCGGGATATCAATTGACTGGGGAAACATCAGCTCTACGCCAGAGCCCGCTGTGTGGGCTTTCGGCGTATACCGAAATCCAACGATACAACGTCTAACACCAGAAGGGTCATTTGAGAACAGGAGCCCGTATTTTGCTTCGGAGATTAGTGATCCAGTCACTGCTGTATGTGAATACCTTCTATCAAGCCTTTGGGAGTCCTTATACACTTGGTTGTACAGGCAAAGGTTGTGCTAGACGACTTTCCGCGAGCATCGTCCGCAGCACAAGCTCTTGACACGCAGATTCGGGCAGATGGGGAAACTTTTTCAACCGAATACGCAGATCTCCTCGCGTTAAGTGCGCGTCAGGCAATGGGATCTATGGACATCACAATTCCTCCATCGTCGGGTGGTACATGGGATACCTCGGATGTAAAAATCTTCATGAAAAATCTCGGGAGTGTCGGTTCTGATAACGGGTATGTACTTTATGGTTTCTCCTTCTCACTTCTACAAAAATTGACTACTGGCGGTTTAACAGGACTTTAGCGAGTGTGAATAACGTGGATGCACTTTATGCTGCGTTCCCTGCTTTCCTATATCTTAATCCTGAGATAGGGAGGTGCCTTCTCGAGCCTCTCCTCGAGTTCCAGGATTCTCCTGCCTACAAGTTGCCGTATGCAGCACGAAATATTGGTATTCTATCCCTTATCGGAAAAGTAGCATGACTTAACACTTCCATCTAGGTTCTACATATCCCTTTGCGACCGCCGGTGACATTAATACTCCGCACATTTATGGCGTTGATGGTAGCCACTTCCTTGCGTGTATGGAGAGTCGTTCCTAATTTGCCTTTACTCGAATAGAATCTGCGAACATGATTATTATGATTTTGGCATACTCGTTGGCCTCAGGAAACGGTACGCTGATCCAGAGACATGTAGGTCACTCATGCATTGGCTGCATAATTCATCTGACACGTCATTATAGTACAACCTGATGCGAAACTGGGCGATCTACTTGAGTGGCAACGCGATTACTCCTTTCAATCAGTAAGATTATTCGGTTAGTCTTACGGTTTTATCTTACGGCGGTGCTCCTAGATCATCTGGAGACTTCAGTGCAAATACCGATTTCACAAGTCCCAATCAAACAGATCTTGCATTGAAAGGAATTATCGGGATTGCAGCAATGGCCCGAGTCGCTGAACTAGCTGGTTTAGTGAGCGACCAACAGAACTTAAGCGTAAGTAATCCTATCAAACTTTTACATTTAGTCTGCGACTGAAAGTTCAAATTTGCCTATCAGGCGACGGCGAGTTCCGCCTTGCAATTGTGGCAAGACCAGGCTGTCTCTGCGTCACACGTCAACTTCTTTTATGGGAACTCTAGCTCAAGTGGAATGATGTACGACCTATATGCTGACAGGCTACTGCGCCTCAATTTGGTCCCAGACTCAGTATATACGCTGTTAACTGGATTCTATCAGAACGAAGCTGGTTAGCAGCATTTATTTCCTCGCGCTGAATTTTCCCTGAAAATTCATTTTTATAGGTTCCCTAAAATACGGGATACCGTTGAGCAACTCACCAGGTCAAAACACGACAACAAGTAAGTGTCTGCCGTGTTCATAGCCAAGCACTTAATGCCCGAACTTCATGACTCTAGACTCGATGATGTTTACCGCAGCAACGGCGAATAGTAATGCAACTCGGGATCTCCTAGTTTCTCAGATACACGCCTACGCATCAAATAACCTTAATAGTGTACCTTTTACATCGATGTATGACCCTGTTTCGGGTCTCGGTGGGCCGGGAACAAGTACGGGTATAGCTAGGTACGCTCCTCTCGCCACGATTCTAACATTTCGAAGAGCTCATCTCGGACTCAGCCCTGCTCAGGGCGGAATATTTGCATTGCTTGCTCTGAAGTGAGTATTTACGTTTCTGCTCCACTTCACTCATTCAATTCGCGTTTATCAAAATGTCTTAGTACGACATCAAAATCAGTGAGCGTACCATTCATCGAGCAGTCCTCGAACGGATCATCCGGCTCGAGTAAACCGAAAGCCGGTCTTATCGCAGGACTAGTCGTAGCATGCGTAGCTATTGTTGCCTTCCTATCCCTCGGACTATATTTCTTCTGGCGCAAGCGTCGAGCACGGCGAAACGCAAATCGTAGTCCAACGACAAGCAAAATCGAACCAGCTGGGTTCGTTCAACCCTTTCCTTTATCGCCAACGTCGCCGGATGACACCTCGTTCCATGATACTGAGTTTCAGCGTGAGGAAGGGACAAGAACATACGAAAAGTTCCAGTCAACTATCCTGGATACAACTGGACCGTGTACACAAAGTTCGACGGTGCCTAGCTCGCAGGCGGCAGCCACAGAGCGTTCACCAGTGGTCGAAGCACTCCGCTCGGAATTTAATTCTCTCAGACAAACAGTGGAGCGGATTGTGCAGGAGCGACGTGCGGCAGATGAGCCTCCGCCTATTTATTCAGACTCAGCCGTGTCGTGGCATTCATAGGACCTTACTTCATGTAGATTGTCATTTTACTTCATTTGTTTCTCTCTAATTGCATTGTTATCATGATTTCTCCTGGGTTAACTAATAGAAAAGTCAATACTTCTGTGACTCTTCTGACATTCAATCTACAGTCTACTCACTTCAGTTACACCGGAAGCCATGTACAACATGCTTGCATCATTCTTGCCATATTTACTATCTTGCAAAGGTAGTCATTTTGAATACAGCCAACAAGTACATATACTAGACTCAGTATCGACAAACTTCTCCAGATCCCTATACTATTGTTGGGTCAGTTACACAGGGTCGGATCGAGACCCATTACTTAACGCAATGTCATGATGCATTAGCTACATTGATCTTCAGGAAAGTGAAAGAAGGAGGACTGACCTTGTCCAAAGTACACCAAATGCGCAGCGTCAATACCCATTGAAGGGATCGAGTCGGAGCACGTTGGGTCTTCTTCTCCAACGCATTGCTTTACATTAGCAGCAATTGCTACAAATATTATGTATTAATAATAACGCTTGTAGAACGGGATTGACTGGAGAGCGCACAGGGATCTTGGAAGTTCCAAAACTCTGTTGTACTAAAGTACAGAGTGTTGAGAAAGTAGGTAGGCGGAGGAGCGAGAACAGACGAACTGGTGACGATAACCGAAGCTCTGAGGGATGATTGTAGGAACGCCATCTTTACAAACGTTCATCAGCAAATCATTCGAGAAAATTGAAAGAAAATGCCCACCAGTCGTATGGACAGCCCTAAATGTGTTATCCCCTCCAACGAGGTTCTCAACAAGTTGTGCATACGCAGGGTCCCCAGTCCTTGGCTGACCAAGCGTGAATACTTGCAATGGTGTACCTGGGAAGTTCGAAGCGAGTGAAACGCCTCCAAGACTTGCAAGTGAGGCCCCGAGACTGTGGCCTGTAGAGATGAGTGAGAAACCTGGGTTTGCTGAGAGTTGCTGAGAGACGGTTGAGATGACTGTAGGGGCAACGCTATTGAAGGCAGAGAGGAATCCGCTGTGTGCGCGCGCGTTGTTGGTGTCCTGGACACCTGGTGAGGTGAATGGAGTGAGGACGATGTCTGCATCTGTTGCAGGATGGTAAGATACTGGCATTGCATGAGTGAATCAAACGAACCAGTGACGAAATCTTGGAGCTGTTGACTACCGCGGAACGAGACGATTATTTGCTTGTTAGTATCATCGCGAGCAATGAACCCTTGTGTATTTGTTGTATCGTTGTTAAACTAGATGAGAAGGATGAGAAATCCGTGCAATCCGTTTAGATGGTAGGAGTGTACCTGCTGGACAAGCGTAGTTCCGACTGGACTCGGGCAGTTCGCCTGGTACGCAGCCGAGGCGAACTTGGTGAAACGAGTGAGAGTATCGAGGAGGTCTTGAGATATAGCGCGTCGATGGAGGGCCGAGTCAGCAGCAGGGTGTGCTGCGGAGAGTGCGAAAGTCAGAGCAAAGACACTCAGAAGACTATACATGTTTTCCAGTCAAGCTATGATCACTGGTGACTGTTGCAAAGCACCCAAGAGCCCTTATATGCACCCTATTTCAACACAAGCTCATATTCGGGAGCGACAGAAAGCCGTAGAAACCGGCTAAGTGGCACGAGCGAGTGAGCAACATTGTATGCATTTCAAGTGAAGAGTGTGGACGGATGCTGTTCAAGTGTTATTTTATGAAAAGAAGCATCGCCATCGCTGACTCGCGCGACTACATTCATGTGTCGGAGCTATATTTGGTTACTATGTACTCACGGTGGATGAGCTCACAGAAGCGAGGAGAGCAACTAATTGAAATACCATTGCACCCGTGCATAGCTCTTCAAGAGGCAGATACATAAAAGGTAAAGAAGAGCGACATTGAACGACAGAGATACAGCGTTGTAGCCTGTGAGTCCCCGAAGTATACACGGTGAGATGAACGTGTTTGCTGCAGTTGAATGAGAAGACACGAAAACACGTTCCATTTGTACTTATTCATGATCAGTAGAAATAGCCCATTGTAGCACGGGTATCACGTGTTGCATGTTATTTCTCTGTTCTGACAACAGGTGACACAGGTCTTTCAGGGGAGACAAAAAGATAGGATTGAGAATAAGTAGAAGTATCTTGTAGACATAGTTATTATAACTCATATTCTTTCATTTAGCTGTGTGCTCCAATGGTCTAGTAGTATGATACCTTGTTAGGGTTGGCTCACTTAAAAGTTGTGTGAGTTTCTTGAGATCGAGGTGGTCCCAGGTTCAATTCCTGGTTGGGGCCTATTTTTAGAACATTTCACTAAAGTAATAGTTTTATAACTAATAATACAGTCAAACTGTTTTTTAAATAAATTTTATTAAAAAAACTTAAGTTATATTACTTATAAGTATATTTTTAAGATTTTCTTTACTGTCATTTTCATAAATATTGTCACACGTGCAATTTGTGATTTTTGTCACACTAAGTACACTCAAATACAAAATCTATCATAACTCAACTAATACTTAACCAAATTACATGATCTAAGTTGTAAAAAATATACTTTTAAAGTGTCTTTCATATCCCAGAAGAAATAAAGTAAAATGATCAAAATTTGAGTAAGATACAACACAAT